ATATGTATATGTATATGTATATGTATATGTATATGTATATGTATATGTATATGTATATGTATATGTATATGTATATGATGTATATGTATATGTATGTATATGTATATGTTCAAGAAAAAGTTTCCCATTTGGTTCGTTGGTTTTGCGTGTATGTGTGCGCGTATGTGTGTGCACATATATGCTATCTGCTGGGAGGCCAATTCTCCCAACTTACTATTATTGCCTAATCAGTTCCATATTGAAAAAGAACATGTAAGTATTTGTGCCGAGGAAGCAGTGATTACCTTTATAGTTCATATCCTTTTAGGCACATTTCCCTATCAAACATTACTTACTGTATCAAATTAAATACCAGGACACAAAGTACAAACTACTTCTATACAGGCACAAACGTATCAGCATTAATAATAATGCAAATAAAGAAGACAGGAAGAAAAAGCCATGAACATTGCAAACAGAATAATTCCCTTCAAATTCACCATGTTGTTTACTTGCCCTTTTGTAAAACAATCACACTAATTCAGTTGTTGGCAAATCCGTCATGACAAATTATTTCCTTTCCAAATCTGACAGTATTTGCCTAGCAACTTAGTACAGTTGTCCCACATCAAGCCCTTGCCATATGGAGCCAGATTCTCAAGTTTATACTTTGGCTGTTGACACAGTTCTGTACTAGGCTGTGCCGGGGTGGAAAAGGAAGAGTAAAAAAAAGACTGCTTATCACCTTCTTGGACTTGGAGGCTACATCCTACTAAGAATAGTTAAAGCAAGTGTGTTTTTAAGGAAGAGAAGGCTAAAAGGAGACATGGAAAGATAGCAAATGTTTAAAGGGCTGCCACAGACAAATTTACTCTATAGGAAAAGCAATGAATAGTAACTGAACAGAAAGAGAACAAAACTTGAACCAAGGAGGAATTTCCTGACAGTGAGAGCCAGTGAAAGCCATTAAATAGCCTGAAGCTGTGGATGCTCCATCCACAGAGGCTTTAGGAAGAGTCTGGACAGATATTAATCTGGGAAGGTATGAGGATTCCTATCCTGGGCAAGAGGTTGGATTAAGAGACCTTGCTCCCTACCCTAGGATTCTATATAAGAGCCGATTCTATATAAGAGCCGAGGTGGCACAGCAGTATTGCAGGTTACTTCAGCTGACTGCTAGCTGCAGTTTGGAAGATCGAATGTCGCCAGGCTCAAGCCTTCCATCCTTCTGAAGTGGGTAAAATGAGGACCCAGATTGTTGGGGGCAATATGCTGACTCTGTAAACCGCTTAGAGAGGGATGTAAAAGTACTGTGAAGCGGTATATAAGTGCTATTGCTATAACAAAAAGAAAGGCAGTTTTGGGCAGTTGCCCAAAACAAGGTGTTGGCAATTTTCAGGCTATCAGGCTTAATCTTGAGTTCCACTATAGAAATGAATGGTATCCAAAGCAGGAAGCACTTCTGTAAGTGTGTAATAAATAGCAGATTCCAGGAAAAGAGGCAGTCTGGTGTAGTGATTAAGGCACCAGGCCAGAAACTGGGAGATTGTGAGTTCGAGGCCCTTCCTTAGGCACCAAGCCAGTTGGCTGATCTTAAGCCAGTCACTTTCTCTCAGTCTTAGGAAACTGGCAATGGCAAACCACTTCTGAAAAACCTCGCCAAGAAAACGTCAGGGATCTGTTGAGGCGGTCTCCACTGACTCAAAGATACACACACATAAAAATACTTATAGTAAACATTCAACTACAGTCTTGACTGGAAATTGAGACAAGGGGATCTCCGAGGGTGCATTGGCTAGGAATTTCAAAACGTAGCTCATACTTTTCCCAGGGGAAAAAAAACCCCTCTGTTTTTTTTCATTTACAGCAGCTTTATTGCACTCCTGCTGATGCTTCCTTCAAATAAGGTGCAATTAAAAATCACTGTCAATCTGCAAATCATTCAGTCAGCTTTATCGTGAGATTCAAATCATTTTCACTTCACTTCCTGGTCATTTTGAGCTTCATGAAGGCTGGTTGGTTCTTATTTACTAATCTTAATGGACTTGTTATCCCAGATGAACAGCAGAATTGTTTCAGCTTCTCTTTTACTGCTCATCTTAACCACAAAGGAAGAAGAATATTAGCTGTTCAACACAGACAGTGAGAAATCCTGCCCTGTCATCTTTTTCCACCCAGGTCATTTAGCTGCAGCACCATACTCTTTCGATGTGGTAATAATACCCTTGCTGACCCAACTTGCTAACAAAAAATGTACAGCACAAGGGGAGGAGGAGACAAATTTGGAGGACACTGTGAAGACCAATGAAAATGTAGGGCCCTTCCAAAACAGCATGTGAAATGGAATAAAATATCCACAGTTTGGTTCTGTCACCAATGAAGCAGGAAAACCTGATTATTTGCTAGAATTCGAAGGATTGGTGAAAATGCTGGGCGGGAAATAGATAAAGCTAAGTGTGGCATCTCAGTTACCTGGGTGTTCTCATGCTCATCTGAACAGCGAGGGGGTGGGAATGGCCTTACTCCCTCCGCCTAGGAAAACATTTGGAATGCTAGATTTGGGGCTAGATTCTAGAAACAGGGAGAAAGGCTAGATTAAATCGCTTGTTTCCACCAACTCTCTATTCCAGGAAGTCGGTAGAAATTAGAGCCTTGATATAAATCTCCAGAGAAGTTTCTGTGAGAGATTCTGCATAGCTGGGCATAGAGGGAAGAGGGGGCGTGGGCGTGCCCAGAGTCTGAAGCAATCCCAGCTCCTTAATACTTTAAAGCACGTTCTTCTGCTGACGTCAGACTCCTACTCCGGGCGAAAGACGGCGGGACCTCGAGTTGCTCCGGAGTGTATTGAGAAAGCGATCCCGCTCGCAGTCCTTGCGGCTCTGACTTACCGTTGGAGGAAAGCAATGGCCAGCTAAGCAAAAGCCAGACATTTAAAGCAGGTTGTCCCAGGTTGCCTCCAGCAGAAGAGACGCGGTGCAACGGGGACAGCCTGGGCATTTTTGGACGGGAGGAGGAAGAGGAGAGGAAATTGCCTTGGCCCCGCCCAGCGGATTAGATCTCCGCCCGATTCCGTCCCGATTCTGCCTTCTTTCCTAGGAGCCTCCCGGCCAGGTATCTGCCGAGCGCTAAACTCCACCGATTCCCGCCGACGGCTGAGGACAGGTGAGTCCTCGGGCGAGGGAGTGCTGGAGGGGAGGGGGGGACTGTCGGGGATCGTGGCTGTCTATAGAGGCCAACGCGTGTTAACTCTCCACTTGCCTCTTCGAGACGCGGCTGATTTTCTCTTTTAGAACACTGACCTTTAAAAGCTGTAAAACTTCTTTTCAAGTGCCTTTCCAATTAAAAGCCTATCGCTTTCTTCGATTTACCGATTTTCTTTGATGAAGAGAAAGAAAGGGGGGAGTACCGCACTTGACCACCCCCTCCCTTTTCCTCTCTACCCCTAGACCAGATGCCCGCACAGAAAGGTTCACAAAAATACCCATACCTGGGGAAGTTAAGGAAGGTAACTTCTCAGAGAGAAAATATCAGAGGCATGTTCAGCGGCCACACTGATGGCTGCTGATTTTAGTGTCCACAAAAGGTGTAAAAAAAATTACTCGTAATGAATTCAGTTTCTATTTGTATAATCAAAACTCTCGAAAAAGAGCCCGGTATAACAATAACCCCCCAAACTTCCAATGGCTTGCAACTGTATATTTATTTTCCGAATAAGAACATTAGCCAAGTTTTCATTCTGCTCAACCAATTGGCTTGTTATTTGAAAAACAAAAAGCTTGGGATACCCATACAGTAATCTATAAAACAGAACTACAGTATGCCTCTTAACCCAGCTCTGCCTGTAAAACAGATTCTTACTCTGAGCAATGAATTGATAGTCCCTTACTTAAACCAGTTTTATTTTTTCTCCTTTGTCAAATGAATACAAGACCCTTTTCTTTTCTGCTTTGATATACATGTCTCTCTCAAACTATCTCCAGACAGGTTGTGCAGCCTAGATTATTTTTTGTATCCCGGATTGTCAGCATAGATTGCCTGGAGGGGATTGGAACCAACCTAAAAATAAGAGATGATACGAAATGCAAACTTAGCTAGAGTGCAGTTTCTTTCCCAACATCAGCAGCGCTTCTCCCTGCATGACTGCTTACTGATAACCTACATCTGCAGTACATAAGTCTTGCACAAGAGTGGTGAGCCTTTAGATGTAAGATAAAAAAATTCTCCATAAAAAAGCTTTGGTGATGGGTTGCTTTGTGGTTTGAACCTTCAGCCATGTAATGATAACTGGGGGGAAATTGTTTGAAAGGCTCAGCAAAAAGGGGACTGGAAGTTAAAATGTATGAGGAATGGTTACAGGAACTGGGCATGGCTAGTCTAGCAAAGAGAAGGAACAGGGGAGACACGGTAGCAGTGCTCCAATACTTGAGGAGCTGTCACAGAGGGGAAGGGAGTAAAACTGCTTTCCAAAGCACCTGAAGGCCAGAGGAGAAATAATGGATGGAAACTGATCAAGGAGAGATTCAACCTAGAAATAAGGAGGCATTTTCTGACAGTGAGAACGATCAACCAATGGAACAGCTTCTCTTCGGAGGTTGTGGGAGTTTCATCACTGGAAGCTTTCAAGAAGAGACTGGGCTGTCCTCTGTCAGAAATGGTGTAGGGTCTCCTGCTTGGGTGAGGGGATTGGACTAGATGGCCTACAAGGTCCCTTCCTACTCTGCTATTTTGTTATTCTGTTAAAAGGAAAGACAAATGTCATCTTTTCCTCCCGGTAGCATTACTCATCCATGTTCTCTCTCCTTCTTTTCAGCTGTAATGCAATGGTAGAGTACTCTGGATGGATTGCTGAGCCACATAGAACTGAAGAACTGAGGTAGCTTCTGATCACAGGATTCTGCTTTACTCCTACCTCCTTAGTATGGGCATATCATTTCTTGTTTGCTTCATTCTTGGACTGTTGCCCTTAAGGATCACTGGGAAGACTTGGCAATGCCAACCTATCGCCTATAACTTGACCCGAGATTATACAGTAAAATATGACTTCCCTACGTTCAGAGCTACGTCTGCGATCCAGAATATGGTTACCTACCCTCCGGGCAATGTTATTTTTGTTGCAGTTCAGAATAAGATTTACACATTGAACTCAGAACTGAAAATTCTGTCGACCCTAGTAACTGGGCCCTGGGGGAGTACCGAGTGCAAGATCTGTGCTCTCTGTCGAGTGAAAGGGCCAGTGGATTTTCAAAACACAGACAACAAAGTTTTGGTGATGGATCCTGTTGAACCTTGGCTTTACAGTTGTGGAAGTTCTCAACATGGCATCTGTTTCCAGCATACGATTCAGATGCAGGGCGACGTTGTTTTGCTTGGGGAAACCTCCTGCTTGTATTCACCTGAGCAGAACAGCCCTTCTAAGTGTCCAGACTGTGTGGCCAGTCCCTTAGGCACAAGAGTTGTCGTTGTTGACATGGCATCTGCTTCATACTTTTATATTGCATCTACCATCAACGCAACCATAGCAAACACGTACAGCCCCAAATCGGTGTCAATACGGAGACCAAAGAGTACTTTGGATGGGTTTGCTGATGGTTTCCACTCCTTAACTGTGCTGCCAGAGTATCAAGACACATACCCTGTTCACTATGTGTATTCTTTTCAATACCGGCAGTTTGTCTATTTTTTGACAGTCCAAAAGGAAGATCCTACTTCCAATTCATACCACACTAGGATAGTGCGACTCAGCACTGAAGACATTGAGGTTCACAAGTACCGAGAGCTGAACCTGGAGTGCCGCATTCAATCTAAACGGAAGAGGAGCCTTAGCATCATGCCTAAAGATGTAGTTTTTAATGTCTTGCAGGCAGCTCATGCTACCAATCCTGGTGCCAAGTTGGCTCAAGCAATTGGTACCACTGAAAAAGAACTGGTTCTCTTTGGTGTGTTTGCTGAAAGCAAGCCGGACAGCATGGTGCCTAAGAAGTACTCAGGTGTTTGTGCTTTTCCTCTGTATATGATCAACAAAGCTATTGAAACAGGGATGACAAAGTGCTGCAGTCTGGACGTTCATGACAAGATGCTTCGAGGACTAACGTTTTATCAAGACATGGAGTACTGCCCACATAATGTGAGTCTTCATCAAGAGTTTCTTTCTTTCTTTCTTTCTTTCTTTCTCTTTCTTTCTTTCTTTCTTTCTTTCATTCATTCATTCATTCATTTATATGGTTGCATGCAACTTTACCAATTTCTTAGGGGTAGTTGAGATAGCTATTTTAATAGTGTTATTGCAATTTAAAGAAAACAAACAAATATGCCATATTTTTATTAATAAAAATTGTGCTATTGGTACCAAAACTTCAGTACAAGAATCAGAGAGGCAGCAGAGGGATTTACTGAGCTTTAATAGTACAGATGACTTTAGTTCTGAACTCTTACAAATCTGAACTTGGTCTGTCACAACACACTTCTGAAATGATATAATTTGACCATATGTACAGCCCAAAGTAACCTTTTTGTTGATCCCTCTTTATTTGGATAACAATTGCAACATTTGCAAGTCATAACATTGAAACTACACATTGCCTATAGTTCAATGTTAGTTACCATATTGCCAAAAGTATAATTCCCATATGAAGATCTGTTCCCCCCAACTTGGTGCTTTCCAGATATGATTCGCTGGAAATTCTGAAATTGTTAGTCTATTTGTGTAACTTTGACAATATCACAATAAAAGGGAATAGTCCTATAATTATAAGAGGGGGAGAGAACTTGATCTTGAGTTGCTATTCATAGCAGTATCCTCAATAAAGTATACTTCTCATTTTTTTGAGTGTACCCTTGTATGCTAAGGCTATGAGTGCCATTGTAGCAAACCTTTCCTAAATAGCTGCTCCTAAATCAAAGTATTTAATTTTCAGTTTAAAAAAACAGCCCAAACTTCCCTCTTTTGTTATTTTGCCACAAAGTATTACAAGGGCTCTATATTAATGCAGTAATTTCATAGCCTCTATTCAAGGAAGCATATGCCAAGATAAATTTGTTTTATTGTCCTTTGTTTTAAATGTCTTACAGATAGTTATAATTTTGCTGAGAGATTAATGATTACTGGAAAGTGTTAAGATACATTGGGAGCCCTTACATGAACATATGATAATGTTACTTCTAGACCAAAAGGAGATTTATAATTTCATAAATGCAATTTCTGCTCATCTTTCATCAGAAAAGGAGAGACATTCAAACATGTGCATAAATGAATGAAGGATGGGTTGATACTGACACAATAATAAGATATGAAAGAATATGTTAAATTTTTATAGAAAGGGGATAATACTGTAATTTTATAGCTTGCGGAGTTACTTTATTTTCAGGCTCCTATTATAAAGAAGATACATTGTTAGATGGGTGATTATATAAATCATTTAGCTAATAGATGATCTTCTTACAAGTCTTTGAATTTCTTTTCCATTAATTGAATTCTTTCCGTGTTCTGTGCATCCAGTATATCTGTCTCATCTGCTGCTTTTTCCTGACACCTTGGTAAAATGTAGACTCATGTTTCTTTCAGAAAAAGATCAGTAACATTGATGTTAGTTGGTAATAAATGCATGTCTGGCAGTAATGTAATCCCTTCTGTGTAAATGCTAATAGATATGGAGACAAAATTATTAATTCAGTGGGCAGCTGGAATCCAAGTCCACACCTATTCCTACCCCAGTATTCCTCACTACCTACTCAGTAGGTAGTGAGAAAATTGATGGCTCTTGTGCAATCTTTCCTTCCAGACTTTTGCTATATAATGTTGGCTATACTTCTTCTACTTCTACTTTGGGTTCTTTGATTTAACAGAGAGATGGGGAGAACAGAAATTTTAAAAGGCACATTTGCTACTTTCCCCCTGGTATTCAACGTATGATGCAATTTACTTTGGCAGCAGAAATAGGCTTAAGAGCAAATATGAAAGAAGTGACAGCCCAAAGATGAAAGCTGATTCACGTGCCGTTTCTGGCATCTTCTCCTTTTCCACTAAAACAATCTGTTGTTGGGTACTATGGGAATAGTGATTGACCCAAGAATTCAGGGATCTTGGCTGTTCTGTTTTCCCATTTCCAAAAGTCCAAGTAAAATGAGACAGTTGTGTAAAGAGCCAGAGGGGAAATCTGTCCAGGATGTGATTCTCTTTCTGCCCAGATTTGAGCTTTCTGTTGAGTGAAGAAAGTAGCTATCAAGAACATGTAAACTGAATCTGCTCAGAGCAGGGAAAATAAATATTTTTTTAAAGTTGGGTTTCTATACAATTTAAACTTTTATTTATTTATTGCCTTTTTGGATAAAACTCTGCTAAAGTAATAGGGATAAATAAAGAAGAAATTAGCATTCCAATTATACTATCTAAACAAACACAACTAACTTTGGCTTTTAAAAATGTGCTTTAAATGTGTTCCATTTTTTCTTGGAGTTTGTACAGTAAAACCTATTCCTCTTATGCTCGTATATGCTCATCACTCTTTTCTAAGAGTGTCTGCCTTATAATCTCTTACGTCTTGTATTCTCAGATGGAATGGTGACAGAAAATAAATTAAAACACTGAGGAAAAAGTGTACCAGTAATAGGCCTCCTAGGATAGTATTTCTTTAAATAAGAATGATTTACCTGTTCCTCAACTGCACAGTCTCCTGTAGTTCTCATTTTTCAACACATCACTAAGAGGACTATGAACTCAGTGATGGCATGATACCTAGCTAGTAGTAGCTTTTCCTGCTACCAAACGAGCAGGCACACGTTGAAAATCTGCCAGGGAGAAGTTGCTAACATTTTATTTTGTTTAATTTCATGTATTATGGAGTTTTGGCAAGAACAATGTTGTTTAGGCAGGTTCTGCAAAGTTCAAGGGTGCGACTGATAGCTTTTTGTTTGCTCTTTCCTATTGGTCAACTGTGGGGGGGGGGAGGCTGATGGGTTGGAGGCTGTTTTCTGAGTTTCAAGATCAGCAGCAATTAAATGGATAACATCACTAGCTTCTGAATGGAGATACATGGAAAACCCCTAAATTTAAATCACTGTAGAAATAGCGTGATTTAGTTTCTGTGATCCACTTGGGGGGGGGGGGAGAAAAAAAAACTTCTACAACCTGAAATTTACCCAAGCTAAACACAATTGTCTCATGAGATCCACATAGAGGAGGATATTTATTGAGACCTAGCTTTTCTACCATTCACTATTTTTCATTTTTTGGTTGCCATTTAAATTCTATTTGAATTGGTAATGTCATGTTTAATTTTCTGAATTTGGGATTTAAGTTATAGTTTAATTTGGCACTATATAAAGATTGGGGTGTGTGTGTGTGTGTGTGTGTGTGTGTGTGTGTGTGTGTGTGTGTGTGTGTGT